AAAAAAAAAAAAAAATACAATAACTAAGAAAATGGCATGAAGGCTATGTTAACCAGTTTGATGAAAATATTTCAAATCATATATAAAAACAGCACACTGTACCCCATGACTGTATTAATGTACACAGCTATGATTTAATTTTTTTTTTAATGAAAAAAAAAAACCCAAGTGAGCCCTTGTTTCCTGCTCACTCTGTACAGGACACTGTGATAAATTCAGGATCACATGTGACTCAGCTGCTCTGGATGAGCCTTCAGAACAGCTTCTGACTCAGCAGGACAGAAATGCAGGAGAAGGTGTATTTAGCAAACACCCAGTTTCCAGAGTGCTTCCTGGTGTCCTGCCTGGACAAGGCGCATGGGCCAGATGGCTCCCTGAGAGAGAGAATGCATAATTAAGTCTCACTCTGGTTCCAGGTCTCTGCACTTTCCTCTTCACACAGGGATGGAGGAAACATGGTTCTCCCAAAAATACCCAGAAGGATGTGGATGATAAACCTGGGAGAAATATGGCAGAGATGAATACACTGATGTGCTCTCTGTCATATTTATCTCTGTCTCTTTCAATGACTCTCTCAATATGCCTTACTCTCATAAGAACAGTCTAGGCAAAAACAATCTACTAACAAAGCTCTCACTAGGAAAGGCAAATCCAGAGCCTTCCTTTGAGTTGCTGATTCTTTCTTTCCCCTGGTGTTTTCTGGCCTGAGTTTCAGGAGCCACACCTCTCTGCCTGTATCTGCCTGGAACTGCCCTTTCGTGCTTCTAGAAAAGGGTGGGTGGAGGGAGGGTGATTGGTGGGATCTCGCCTATGGTTCATCCTATAAGGGTACATGTGAATCTCCCTAAATGTAGAATATAAACACAAGTCTTAACACAATAACTAAGAAAAAGACATGAAGGCTATGTTAACCAGTTGGATGAAAGTATTTCAAACTATATACAGAAACAGTACACTGCACCCCATGATAGTATTAATGTACACTGCTGTGATTTAATAAAAAATAAATAAATAAAATTCCACTAAAAAAAAAAAAAAGAAGAAGAAGAAGAAAAGAGTGGGCCTTAATTTAGATCACGGGTTGACAATCCAAAGTGCTGAACAGCCCTACAGGACTCCTGCTCCATGCCCTGCTTTTGAAAAAGAATGGATAGAATGTGCACGTGGAATTGGTACTTCCGGGCAAAGAAAGAGTGCAAGATAGAATTTGATGACTTCATAGAATGTGTAACTTGGCTGAAAACGATTCAACACTTGAAAGCCATCAGGAAACAGCAGGATAAGCGAATAAAGGAAGGGAAATGTACCCCTCCACCTCACCACTTGGGCCAGGAGGAGCCTAGGCCCTGAGCAGAGAGCAGCAGCTGATGGCTTGAGGCTGATTTTCATTCTCCACTGGAAAGATTGTTTACTGAAAACTTCTTTATCAAAGTATGTAAAAATAAAAGATTGCTCCATCTTGGGGGAAAAAAAACAAAATAAATGTTTGTAACCATGAAAATCCAGGGCAAAATTAAGGAGAAAGTGATCTGAAGGGCAAATGGTCATTTTGAAGGGTCACTACAAGGAGTGGAGTGCAGGCCTTTGCATCCTATAGTTTAAGGCCACAGTTCACCAGATTAAAAGAAGATAGTGTCATCCACTGCTGGGAGGAGAGTAAATAGATATAACCTTAGGACACAGCAATTAGGTGATATCTGCTGTAACACACATCACCCCAATCCAGGAACTGCACTTCTACCCGCTGTCCTACGGAAGTGCTCACCTTGGTGGAAAAACGTGCACAGTATATTAATCACAGCATTATTTATAAAAGTCAAAGCTTTGATGGCCGGGCGCCGTGGGTTATGCCTGTAATCCAATCCCAGCACTCTGGGAGGCCAGGGTGGGCGGACTGCCTGAGCTCAGGAGTTCAAGACCAGCCTGAGCAAGAGTGAGATCCTCTCTCTAAAAATAGCCAGTGTTGTGGCAGGCGCCTATAGGACCAGCTACTAGGGAGGCTGAGGCAGGAGAATTGCTTAAGCCCAAGAGTTTGAGATGGCTGTGAGCTACAATGCCATGGCACTCTATGAGGGTGACAAAGTGAGATTCTGTCTCAAAAAAAAAAAGTCA